GGTGAGAAAAACCCCATTCGTAACTGCGGATCCGACATAAGTCGGATCCGCGTAACTCGGGGAACTGCCTGTATGGACAAAAATAAAGTCAGGTACGGCAATTTGTTTCTCTAATTACCAAAAAGATTGTAGTCATTGGATTATACTGTACACACTTTTCCTTTGTTAATTTCAGTATATGAATCTTAAAGTAAATGGAAGCTTCAAGGGGTAGCCAAATTAGTCTGAACACGATAAACTTAAAAAACAACAGTCTGGTAGCACTTTATAGACTAACAAAACATGTAGATGGTATCATGAGCTTTCATGGGCATAGCCCACTTCTTCAGATGACCAGAGTTTTGAGAGTTTAGGATTTCCAGACCCAAGAAGCAGAGGGTATGTAAATATCATACGGAAAACCAAACAGGCAAATAAATGGAGTTTGCTTGCTGGTTTAGGGCAAGGCTCTTTTAAAAATGTATGTATTTAATATACAGTACATCCAAATACATACAAACACATGCCTACCATGCTGATTATGGAACATATACACAACAGAGATAAAACACATTAATACCACTCACAATCCTTAAAATAATTAGCAGCATCTCAAGTGATTTTCTGTTTATTTTGTCGGTTTAAATACATTAGGTAGAGAATTATCTAGGTTTCTCAATACTGGATACTACAACCCACACTGAAGATTTTGCTGGGGATTTAACTGAAATGTATTTACTAACCTATAAAAAAGTACTTTGTAAACTTTACAAAAATATTTGTCTCACAACGTATTTAATGTTTTGTTTAAATACATCTAAAGGGACATGCTACCTTACAAAGTTGTATTTATTTTTAATACAAAGCTAATATTTGTTCTCAGCATTTTTACCTACTGTATACTATATGAAGATTCAGTACTTGGGAAAGAAGAGATACAGTGACCTCAAACATATTTAAGAAGTACTGAAGTATTTTTACGGATAGATGTAAAAATTTCTTACTGAAATAAAAGGTTTAAGAACTAGAAACATTACTTATCCTCAAAATAATGAAAAATATTTAAATATTGTTGCTCAAAGTATACTAAAATTATATCCAAGTATCACTCAACTACAGTCAGGTGTCCACCAGAAAGCAGTTTGCACATAACAGTACCAAGTCTCTCAAATATCCTTCTCCATCTAACTAAAGAAGCCATGGCTCTGATAAAATCATCCATGGAACATAACCCCTTCAATTAATTATTTTACTTAACATGTAAGTGTCCAGGACATTTCTGAACTGGTAACACATTAGCAAAGGATGCTGCACAGAACCTAGGGCAACATGGTTAGACATGTTTACAGTATGTACATTTCAGACATGTCTCACAAATCATCCTGTGGGAGATAGAGAGCAACCCCTCTCAGATATTCTCATGCTAACATCTAATATTCTGTTTCAGCCCAAAGCTAGTAATTCTGTGTATAATCCCTGATTACCCATCTTGCCACATGCTAATTTACTAGCCAAAATAGAGTATTTTTACTGAGGATTAGAAGATAATAAATACAAGAGTTACATATCCTCTTTGATATTAAATTGAGAGGAAAAATATTCATGCACACATCCAAAGTGCCTATTTTTGCAAGTGTAAACATGAGAGTGGGCAGCATTCAAGCTGAAGCCTTGGGACACAAAGAGGAATTCAGCTACTACAAGACAGACAACAAAACAAAACAACACACATCACAGAAGATGGCATCTGTAGGACAAAACGGTCAGAATTTGAAAATGCAAGTGACACCCTCCCCCCACCCTTGCCCTGTATATGTTTTAGGGGTGACAGTATACAGTACCTTTTCCTTTTGCAGTAGTGCTGCTGCTATTGCCAACAGAGCAGGATGCCTGAGAATCCTTCCTTAACCTCTTGCTCTGAGGTCTGACACTGGACCTCAGAAAATGATGCTGGTCCTGGCTGTGGGAGGGCTGAAGAGAGGACGGCTCTTGGTGTAAACTGGGGCTGGATGAGGGGTTATTAGTGTTGTTGTTAATAATCTTATCTTCTTTCTTTGTGCTGCTCCTGCTTGGAGCTGCCTCTCCTCTTCCTGCCCCTTCTTCTTCTTCCAGGGACTCCTCATCTCCTGCTCGCTTGCCTAGCTTTTTCACCCCTTCCTCCCCGCTGCTGTCTCCCAGCTTCACTGTCATCCTGTTGGGGAGGAGAGAAAGAAAAGAGGGGGGCACAAAGTCAAACCACAGACCCCACTAGAGAGGGAAGAAAATCCAAGGGCTGAGAGGGGAGAAGTTTAGCTGCAGAAATTCCTCTCAACATGGCCGCCGTTGTTTGTTACTAAATCCCCTTTCGTTTGCTGTCCCGACCCAACAACCTGTGCCGAGGGGTGGGAGGGGGAAAGCCCCATAAGAAACCTCCCAAATCACCCCAAAAGAGAGCCAGGCTCCCCCGGCAGACCCCTGGCACCTTGCTGAAGGGATTAGGAGCGCCTTTGGCAGGGAAATTGCCAAGCCAAACTCAGCGTTTGGAAGCGCTCGACAGGCGCAGACACACACACAGAGAAAACCAGCCACCAAAATACCCCAGCGGAACAGGGAGAGCTCAGAGCAGGGACGGGGCCCCTAAAAGTGACTCGCCCCCACCCCATCCTACCCATTGTGCTGTTCCTCTGGCCCAGGGGGGCTCTTCTTTCTCCTCACCATGGAGCCGAGGTGATCCGACCTGCTGAGGGGGGGAAATTCATATTCCTAGATGCAGCAGCAGCTTCTCCTCCTATCGTCTCTCACTCTCTCTCTCTCTGACTCTCTCTGGGGCTGGGACTGGCCAAGGCTACAAAGATTTCCAACTCCCCCCACCCACCTCCAAATTATTATGCACCTTTCTGCTTTATCCTAAACTGGAACTTTTTCCCCGGGAAGGTGGCAGATCGTCAAGTACACAATGAGCCCAACAGCTCTAGTATCTTTGCAAAGGAGCATCGCTTTGGGGCTGATCTCCTGTCAACGTTTGCATTTTTAAAAAAGGCACTCCAGGAGAGGATTTCGCTTTCCAAAGCCATGAACTTTGCTTGCTACGTCACCAACTTCCAGGATTTTACACTGATTGCAAACCCCCACCACAATAAAAAAAAGAAACACAAAATATCCAGATCCAAATATTTGGTGCCGTTTTTCAAACCCCTCACTCCCCGAAAAGCGTGCACCTCAAAGAGATTCTGCAACCGCTTTGCCAAGTAAAAAGTTTAAGCACATTATTTTGTTACAAGTCCACTTATGTGGGCTTTGCTGCCATCGAAATGCATATTATTTTATTATGGGACTGTAAATTTGACACTTGGACCCACAGTAGCTGTTAGCCTGACCACTGGCTTTGCTTCACAAAACTTATCAGTTATTTTTTTAAATTCAGTGGAAAATACCACGCTACGCACAAAAGGCTTCAGACTAATATTAATCACTAAGACGGTTAGCGGATGATTTAATTTCTACAACACGGAAAATATTACAGACACTATCTAAAAACAAGACAACACCTTTCAAGAACGACGCCATACTAAAAAAATGCAACAAGCTATCAACAGCAATGCAATTGTCTTATCTAACAAAACCAGAATTCACAATTCTGCTTCAATTAAGAAGAAAAACCAACTACCAACAAATGTATACAATTCCAAGTAACAACAGGACTAAAACATTTCTCACTCACTGAACTGAATAAAGAAAATGCAAACACGAATATAATGCATTTTTAAAAGGAGTCTGTCGACTTCATAACCTTTAGAAAGTAGGGTAATTTTGTTTTAAAGGGGCGACACTAAAGTACAGTTTTCTCTATGTATTAAATTAAGCATTTCTATTTACTAGTGTAAAATTATTTTACATCTGAGGTGAACTACTCATACAGGTCGTTAACCCCTTAATACACATTAAAATGTGATAAGCGATCCACTTGACAAACCACCCTAACTACGGGCAACAAGGCAATTCAGCTTTGTTCTGAAAAACTTTAACTACTAAAAGGACTAGGAGTGTATGATATTTAAGGGGAGTTTCAATCCCTTTGGTTGAAAGAGGGTAGTTTACAGGGCGTGATCACAAATTAACAGCATACATGCTTCGATAGCCATGACAACAGGAAAGAAAACGTACCATCCCCACGCAGAACAAAATCTGCCTAAGGAAGGACTGTGTAACGCCTACTGAATTATCAGGAAGAGCATATGTCACTGCAACCCTACTTTCTAAAATGTGATCTATAAAGTGTTTTAGTTAAAACCTCTGACGCTTACCATAACTGCAACTCTCCTCCCAACTCGCCCACCCAGCTGTTGTCGCGTAACTCTCTTCTCCGCATTACACCTGTTTCTTCTTTTTCTCTAAGACACCAACATCTTGACACCTTTATAGCTTTTGCTTCCCCACACCTTCGTGCTCGGTAAAACCCCCACTCTCCTCTACAGACGCTTTTCTTCTTCCCCACAAGCTACTGACTAGACCAGCGCGTTGTAATAAGGCCCTGGTCCGCGGGTCGCCCGTCCGCCTCAGACTAGAGAACCAGCGGCAGATCCTGCAGGCACCACGGGGCAAAACGCCGCTCCACGCAGACGCCAAACAAAGGGGCAAAGTTTCGCCTCTTCCCCTGCTGCAGACCTGCCCCCGCCCCGAGCGCACTAGCGGCCCCTTGGCTGCCCTACAGAGCAGCCCTCCCGCGTCGGAAATGCAGCTGCCTGCATCTCTGAGCAGAAGGCAGGATGGGCATAGGGAAAAGGCCTCGGGGCTCCTCTGGATGTTTCCCCAGCCCTGCAGCTTCCAGGCCTTTTCCAATGGCTGGCCTCGTGCCTCCCCTGGGCAATACCTGGAGGCAGGAGAGGCCCGCAGAGAGATACCATGATGCAGCGCGAGTGCTGACCTCTCGTCTTGCGAAGGTGTCTCCCCATGTGCTGGGCTGTGGCACTAGCGGACTCCTTGATGCGGTGTGGCATGAGGTCTTCCCTGCTGGGAGCCGCTGAGACCACTACCCAGGTAGCACCGGCCAATGGCAGCAGCGGGGAAAGCCTAGCTACCGTTTTCTCAGTGGGATGCAGAGGGGAGGCAGAGCTCAGTCCCCCCCTCACATAGTGGGGAGGCAGCATGGGCTCCCCACCTTATGGGGGAAGGAAGGGGACTGAGCTCAAGCTACGGACCACCTGGGAGGCAGCTGTGGACCACTATTGGTCTGTGAATCCCACTTTGAGAACTGCTGACCTAGGGTAATAGAAGGTCAGTGTGAAAAATAAACAACGGGCTGGTTTGCAAAGAGGTTGAGCACCTGCAGCCCCCAATGACTTCTGTGGGCTGTGGCGTTGCTATGAACCTCTGAAACTCAGCCCACAAACTTTTCAGGGTAGGTGCAGTTTCAGTTTCATCTTTTGCTAATGGGCAGAGGAGGAGATAAATTCTGACTTCCTTGCCTCTGCAATTTTAAGTCATGGTGTTTAATATTTTTTAAACATAGATTTTACCTCTCTGTTTGGTTTCCTTACTGACATTTGGTGCCAATTCTGGGCATCTCGAAGCTGGGCGTGACATTGAATAATGGCACGAATGTTCTGTGAAAATTCTTGACATTCTTACAAAAAGGATTATAATGAAAGGGTGGGATGGAGTAGGGATTGTTTTTCCTATGTGTGTGTGTGTGTGTGGGTTTTTTTGTTTTTTTTAAATCAGAGTGCAGTGCAGGGTGGAAGCTTCATTGCAGGCTTTGTTGTCGTGACTTCTGTGCAACGGGACTCAAGTGACTTAATGTGGTCTCCTTTGTATGAAGAACGATATGGCTGTGATTTGAAAACTGCAGTGCTTATTCTGGAGTGTACTTGTGAGTCGCAGTGGAGAAGGAAATGCAAACGCGATACAGTGCTGAGAACTTTGATGCAGGACAGTCATATCACCAGGGTAACAGCAACACTGAATTGATAAGGAAGAAATCTCTCAGAGCTACTTAGAAGAGCCAGCTGTTAATATAAGACTAGATCATCCCCTTTTCAATCCCCCCCCCAAGCTTCTCCATGTGTGATTGTGAACCCCTCGCTCTGGAAGCCCTCTACCTCCATGGGAAATTCACTTGTCTGGTGAGGAGAGACTGATGGTACAGTACAAAGCTAGATAGGAGAGGTGAGACTCCCTGATGTTTGTAATGCTGAAAAGCTGTGATGTCTAGCCATGCACTTGATACTGAGCCCGAGGAGGGCTCTTGTTGTAGTCTGGGGGCCTTTGGAGGGCAGAAGGACATAGTTGGGGTGAGCAGAAGGGATAGAGTTGACATCCTCTCTTCCCCCGCCCAGTGGAGGATGTCCAGGAGTTCATGGCGTATGCAGGTTTTGCACCTCTCATCTTGATGTCCGTTTGTGAGAGAGGCTAAAAAGGATTGGCACCAGTAAATTCATTCAGGAATCTTAAAATTCCTCCAGATTAATTTCTTTAGTGTATCTGGCGCACTCTGAGGCTTCTGTGTCGCACAGTAATCTAGTCTCTGCTGAGGAGAAAGAGAGAAGCTTAAATGCAGTAGACTGCAGTGATAATACAAATAATGAACACAAACCTCATGTTTAAATGCTCTTATTGATCCATTGGACTTTTGCCTTTGCTTTGAAATACCATGTCCTGGTTCAACAAAAGGTTTAAAGCTGTGGTGTCGAACCAGTTCTGAAGCAGTAGCCTCTATAGTAGCTACTGCTATAGTGAACTAGCCACGCTCAACATGTGGCTAGTGGTTAGCATGTTGGACACCATGGATTTAAAGATATGCTTATGTCCCACTGACTGCAATGACTTGTAAGTGGTGCTGAAGTGCTTTGCTGAATTGGGGCCCTGATGAGGCTCAGAGTCAGCTGCATGGCTACTAGACACAACAGCTTTTCAGCATCACAAAAATCAGGGAGTCTCATCTCTTCTGTCTGACTTTTACTGTGGTATCAGTCTCTCATCCTGTGGCGAATTTGAAGGCTCATCAGGCCACAGATAACTGTGCTATGACTAGCAATAGTCTTTATAATAGGGGTGGGCAATAAGCAGCCCAAAAACAAATTGTCTGCTGGCCTGCCATCAGTGAACCCTGGTGAACAGTGTCTGGGCTGTTTATGGCCTATGAATAGTTCACCTAAAAACTCTGTATGAATACTTGCTGTGCTGTCTGCCTCAGCATCTCTTCGCCATCCTTAGCCTGTCCTGAGCAATTATTTTATTACCTCTTTTATGGTATTATTCTCTAACTAACGTTTTACATGTCTCACTTGCTTGACAGAGCGGTAATATATTGGGTTCAGGGAAGGTAACGTTTTTATCTGTAAAAAAAAAAAAAAAAAAAAAAATCCTGGAGGCTCACAAGCCTAGGTCAGTTTTTTTTTAAAAGCCCTAGGCTTTCAGGCCAACATTTTGTACTTTCTAATGAAAAAGTCCTACAGAATGTAACGGGTGAAATTTACAGGGTGCTACGGTATAGGAATTGTTCTGAACAAATAATATAACTCAGGACAGAATTATAGCTTTGCTAATAGAATTGCCTAATTTGGCTTAAGGATTCAGTAGAAAGGTTATCATTATATAGAAAGTTGTTTGAAATTTTTGCTTTAGGAGTACAGAAGATACTCTAAACTTATGGGTAAAGGCACCTGGACTGCAAATACGAAAGACTGGATCACGTGCTCATGAAATCAGTGCAGCGATATTGATTCCAGCGAAGGTTCTTGGCCCTTGAAAATGATCTAAGCATAAAAAAGGAGACCTATAAAAATACAAAGGATGAATGTAAATAATCACAAGTATGTAGGGGCAAAATTAAAAAGGCAAAGGCACAATGACCTCATTCTAGCCAGAGACATAAAGGGTAACAAGAAAACATTCTACAAATCCTAGAATCCTAGAACTGGAAGGGACCTCGGGAGATCATCATGTCCAGTCTCCTGCCCTCACGGCAGGACCAAGCATCATCTAGATTATCCCTGGCAGATGTCTATCCAACCTGCTCTTAAATATCTCCAGTGATGGAGATTCTACATCAACCTCCATAGGATTTATTGCAAGCATTTAACCACCCTAACAGGCAGGAAGTTTTTCCTAATGTCCAACCTAAACCTCCCTTGCTGCAATTTAAGCCCATTGCTTCTCATCCTAACCTCAGAGGCGAAGGAGAACAATTTTTCTTCCTCTTCCTTATGATACTCTTTTAGATACTTGAAAGCTGCTCTCATGTCCCTTTTCAGTCTTCTCTTTTCCAAGGTAAACAAGGCCAGTTCCTTCAGCCTTGCCTCGTAGCTCATGTTCTCTAGACCGTTCAACATTTGTGTTGATCTTCTCTGGACTTTCTCCAGTTTCCCCATGTTTCCTGAAATGTGGCGTCCAGAACTAGACATGATACTCCAGCTGGGGACTAATGTAGATGGCTCATTCCCTCCCTAGGGGACATGAGACTGGGCGGGATAAGTTCCAATCCTCCTGTTTATTCTTTTTCTAAGCCAGGAGGGCACAGTAGTTCTGATGGGGGCTCTGCAGGAAGGCAGCTCGCACTGCCCCCTGCCTGAAACCTTGTGCAGGTGTTAAACAGCTGTCTAGCCCACCCTAGAGGTGACCGCATTTCAGCGTGTCTGAAGCAACACAGCACCAGCAATGGACAGGAGAATGGCTCCTGGGCATGGCTTGCTCATGACTGCTTCAGTCCCATTGGATGGACCTCTGTCTCTTTTCTTCCCCTCCCCCGCTTTGCAATGGGGCTGTAGACTGTGGGGGAAGAGGGGTGGAG